AAATTATCTTTGAGCTTATTTCGGAGCTTTTGTCTTGATTATCTTCATAATCAGAAATACCCATTCTGTAGTTGCAGTTGATACAGGAAGATGAGTGGGAACAAATCTAATCAATTGGATTAAATTGTATATTTATATATGCGCCAATAAAGTAATTATTTTTGTTTTAACCCATTGATAATTATGTATTAGGTCGCTTTATTATAATATATCAAAATAGGTCAATTTACTATATCATCAAATCATATATTTAGGCTTTTGAAATTTCATAATATAAACTAACATTGTAAAAAATTAAGAGGGTCAACTTTGTTTTACACATATATTTCCATATTACGCATTAAAATTTTCAAAACTTAGAAAGGACTATGACTCCCTCGGCCCCCCTTGGCTCAGTCATTGACATACATCAAATCGCCATACTACAATTTTCAATAAAAACTTCAAAAAATAGCATTCTAAATGGCCCTAAACATATGACAGAGTTGTGATCTCAGACTTAACATAAGCTGCCAAGTTGTTTAAAGATAGTCAAAAAGATAGCTTTGCATCCAAATTGTAATATGAGTCGTGTGTGTGTGTGTATATATATATATATATATTTTTTTTTTTTTGGGCCAATCAAAGTAGTGAAACTTTTTAAGAATCCTTGCTACTGCGACAGCTCCAACACGAATTCATCAAAGGCCAGTCGATAGCTATATTTGAAGAAGTCGTAATTAAGTTGCTACACTTTCAAAGAAGTCATATTATAGTGCCTAATGATTCCAAGATGATTGGTCCCATTATGAGCAAGTAATTCCTTCGAGGCATCGGCAAAAATTCCTTTAGTGCAAGAATTTGCAGTATTGTCATCCAGGAAGAAAAGGGGTCATTCACTACTCCTATTATTGTTGTCGTTGTTGTTTTAGGAAAATTTTAAACCTTATAAGGGGAGCAAAGAAAGTGAAAAATTGAAGAGTTGAATCAGAGGTCTCATGATTACTTGTTTAATGTTCATTCTAACCGAATTGAATTTTGCGAACAAGGAAAGGGATTTTTTTCTGTAACAAATAAAAAGCTTGAAAGTTAGCAATGCCACCTTAATTACATAATATGTTAATCAACCAGCAGAATTATACACAGAAACTTCCGTATGTTGAGGCCTGCAGATCCATGATGCATGAGTCGTAGAAGCTGACGCTATATATATAGTGATGTTGTGACGACGAGGGGTATCGTACAAAGACAGCGACTTTCCTGCTGACGATGAAAACATAATAAGATTGGTGAAATCATTAATGTCTTATCCCCATAACAACTGCCAGGAACCAAAACTCTGGATAGAGATGGAAAAAAATTGGTAATTAGGCTTATTGAGAATTTTAAGTAAATATTTAAAATTAATGATTGGTGTAAAGAGTGGTATACATTAATAACTTAGTTTGTAAAAATGAATTTAAATGAATTTACAAAATATTAAAATAAATAGGTTATAAATGGGTAATTGGGTTATCCATTTCATTTTTTGACTTATCCATTTATACCCATCTAATTAAATTGGTATAAATGAATTGACTCACTTATACCTATTATCCATTTTAACCAATCCAAATCCGACCGTCCAAATCATCTATTTTGACACCTCTAATTAAGAGTATCTCATAAAAAGTCCCCCTGACACCCAAAAAAAAGAAAAGGATATATAAATTAGACATCAAGTAAGGCGTTCGAGCTAAGGGTTTCCCAATAGAGTTGGTGTTCCCTTTCCCCCAACTCCCTATCCCACATCGGTTGTGAGTGATGTATGTATTCACTACTTAAGGGCCTCAGTGCTATCCAAAAGTTAGCCTTTTGGGTAGTGCTGTGGATTAGCTTTAGGTTAGTGTGTGTGTGTTTCTTGCTGCTGTTGAAAGAAAAAGAAAAACAGGAGAGGTAAAAGCTACTGAGGGTTTCCCAATAGAGTCGGTGTTCCCTTTCCCCCAACTCCCTATCCCACATCGGTTGTGAGTGATGTGTGTATTCACTACTTAAGGGCCTCAGTGCTATCCAAAAGTTAGCCTTTTGGGTAGTGCTATGGATTAGCTTTAGGTTAGTGTGTGTGTGTGTTTCTTGCTGCTGTTGAAAGAAAAAGTAAGGCGTTCGAGCATGGTTGCACCGCAGCACATGCATTTATTTGTGGTCCTCTTGTTGCCTGCAAGGTTGTTAATTATGGGGGCACATAGCGTGATCCGTCTTCATTGACTAGTAGGCTGTAGGCCGTTGATTCTTGGTGGCGGTGGTGCATTGGCAAGTAGCAAGCAACACAGTGTGGATGGTGTTTTTCATTCCATTAGCTTCAAAAGCATAGCTTGGCCTCTTAATTTTGTGAACGGGGGCAATGGGCAAATATGATAGCGGATATCATCAAGTATCTAATTGAAAGAAACCATTTGATTTTTTTTTTTTTTTTTTGCAAAAGAAGAAGAAAAAAAAAAGAAAGTCCCTTTTCGTATTTAATTCTTGAAATCATGCCACTGGCTTCGAAAGCTTGTAACAAATTTGTATTTAATTCTTGGAAAGAGGCTTTTTTTACAGCCCCCACACGAAAAGGGGAGGAGATTTTCATTCATTTGCGATTGCGTTTAGGAAATCGGCAGTTTAAGTCAGAGCAAACGAAAAGAAAGGGAAACTTGAGTATTAAGTGAGACGGAGGTTTATGTAATTTTCTTTTTAATATTTTTATAATCTAATTTATTTTAATCTAAAGAAAGGGAATAGAAACTTCATCGAAGAAAGTTACGGAAGACGGTCGCGTGTAATGATGATTTGATATGCTGTAATGGTTGAATTCTCGATCTCTTAACGCCATCAAAATTTAAGTGTTGGCGGTGATCACTAATTCAAAGGACTAGTGGCCGGAGGTTTACGTAATTGGCCTTCTTTATATATATATATATATATATATATATATATATATATATATATATATATATATGTGTGTATATGTTGGCCGACACCGGACTGTATAACTAGAACAGAGGATTATAATTCGCGTGGCCGACATTCTTTGCTTTCCTCCGTTGTCACCCATGGCCTAACCTTCAAAGGAGTAGTAAAGACAATCAAATGCTCGGCGAGTCAGAGTAGGCGTGCTCCATTACAACATTAACCACCTAGCAAAAATTACTTCCAGTAAGATGTATGTTACAACAGGACAACGCGTTTCTTCTTCTGCCTTTGTTATAAAGTCAAGCGTGTTTGGATAGAGATTATTTGAAATAATTTTTTTTTTAAAAATATTGTAACACTTTTTTTAATGTGGTGTATGTAAAATAAAAAAATAATTAAAAAATATGTTGATAATATAAATAAATCAATGTGTGTGTAAATAAGTTTCTTCATTTGATTTTGTCAACTATAAGATAATACTCTCCTAGTAATTTATTTCCTATAATATAAATAATTATATAGATCATACATATTTGTTTATAAGTAATTTATTTCCTAGTCGCAGACGTCATCTTTTGTCTGTCCTCCTTCCTATTTACTTTTATCCCTAGATGACATATCTAAATTTTACTATATAATGCATGAAGGAAAGCCCTTATGCTGTTTCTATTTCTGTCATCTTTTGAAGGTTTTTTTTAAAACCATTACATTAAAAAGTAAAACATCCAACCATATTCCAAAAAAAAAACTTTTTTTCTTTTTGTTTAGTTTTGATTTTTAAATTATGTTAACTACCACCCAAAGTTGTATGTAACTAGCTTATAAGTACTCGTATATTTTCTTGTTTACGCAAAATCTTTAACAAATCTTCCTAGGAGTAGAAATTAAGTACGCTCCAAAATCTTCCTAGGAGTTGAAAGTCCGTTTCTTTGACCACCTATGCTGAAACACTAAAACTACGTCCAACCCTTTACATCATCTCCACTTACGTGTCCTTTACATCATCTTCACTTACGTGTGCTGCTGTATCGTATATCCACAACCATCAGCACTCTCTTTGGAATTTGCAAGTGAGTTTTAAAGAAACCAAAGCTCCGTTGGGCAAGGGGATTTTTTGATTATTTGTCTAAAATTTCACTGTAGAAGTTTTTAAAAAAATTTTTGAACTGTATAAATTTTTAAATATTTTTAAATGTATAGTTTAAAAGTTTTGAGAAATTTTTTAAGGTCAGTGTAACTTTATAAAGCTTTTAAAAAACTTGTAATAGATAAACTTGATAAAAAAACTTGCCTGTCTTGATTGTTCTGTATGTTATCTCCTTTTTGAATTCTATGGACATCTATAAGGTCGCGACGAGTCGATCCGGTCAAAACTTGAACTCGAATTGACATAACAAGTTCGTGTGAGTCCGGCTCCGAGTATAGGGATACTGTGTCCGTTGCCTCGTCAAGCCAGTTCTGTACCATATGTTAAATAAACTTTTTTTATTTAAACAAATTATGTGCCAAGATCGATGAGAAAGTTGGAGTTTTCGTCAATGTAGATGTCGGTAATCGGTAAACAGCAACATCTATGGTATGGGAAGGGCAGAGAGTTGGCCAACTTCTGCTTGATTGGTAACACATGAAGATCTGGCAATGGCCTTGCGTTTTTCTTTTAACGTGTACACATTCCCAACACGTAAAACTGACGCTGTAAATCTATCCTGGTTCTAAGACACGCTAATGGCACTTTTTGGTTTGGGGTCTAAATGCTTCTTGTTGGGAATTGCTTAGAAGATGAGGCATGGTGGCTGTGATTGAACGCTTTGATTGTGATGGTTCATGCATGACGGTTCACACCATATGCTGCTATAAATACTACATAGAGGCAGCACCCAAACGTGCACCAAACAGTTTTTCTAAAATCTTTTCATGCAGCTAATCAAATTAGTTGATCGTGAACGCTTAGCTTTTATTTTCTCTCCACCTTGTACATTGGCTCTCGTACCGTTATCTCCCTCCGATTTCTGAACCTTGTTTTTTATCTTGTGTGAGATAGAAAATCTCAACATTCTGTTTCTTAGCAGCTATCATTGGCTTTCGAAAATATGCCTTCAATAGTTCATGCAAATTTGTCCTGCATTAACCTGGTTATGCACCTTAGTAAACTCGACAAAAGCAAAAGGAAATGGGGCTCTGCTTTTCTGACCATATATTGTTCAAGGGCCTTCAAAAATGTCCGGAGCCATGGCAGCTTCCCTTCTGTAAGGGATAATGCAGATGAAAACCACAGTGGGCTGTTGGACAATCTTCTGCCATCTCCACCTGATACAGTTATTTATATCATACCACAATGCCTATCTGAGCTTGCCCGCCGCAAAAACATCGAGCAGCTTCATCAGCTTGGAGGCGTTCCAGGAGTTGCCTTATATCTCAAATCTGATGTTGGAAGCGGTATCCAAGGTGATGATGAGGAAATTGCACGTAGGCGCCATAACTTTGGTTCAAACACTATCCAGAAGCCAACTCCAAAAACTTTACCCATTGTGCTTGAGACCTTCAGAGATCCCATCATTATTATCCTACTTGTCTGTGCAACACTTTCAGTCTGTTTTGGTATAACACGTCACGGGCTGAGAGGAGGGTCTGATGGGGGAAGCATATTTGTCGCTGTCATTCTTGTGATCATGGTGACTGCCTCGAGTAAACTCTGGCCAAGAAGACAATTCTTTAAGCTATGGAAAGCTCGTGACAACTTCTCCGTCTTTGTGATCAGAAATGGGCAACAGATGCGCATCTCAGTGTTTGAAGCCGTTGTTGGAGATATTATTTGTTTGAAGACTGGAGACCAAGTTCCTGCTGATGGCTTATTCATAGATGGGAACCCTTTACAGGTGGACGAGTCATGCATCGCAGCAGGGAGGGAATCAGTGGAAATCAATGAAAGCTGTAATCCATTCTTTCTCTCTGGCTCGAAGGTGATCAACGGTTCTGCTCGAATGCTTGTGACTGCAGTCGGCATCAACACTGAATGGGGGAAGATGCTGAGCTCAAAAAGATATGATATTGAGGAAAGAACTCCATTACAAAGGAAGCTACGTCAGCTGACCATACAAATATCTATAGTCGGTTTAATGGTTGCTTCCTTGGTGCTGGTAGTACTGCTTGTTCGTTACTTTGTCGGGAATATGCGGAATGAGGATGGAAAATCAGACTTCACCACTGCAGGGAAGACAAATATCCATAAAGTCTGCAATGATGTGATAGGGATCCTAGCCACCCCAGTTGCTATTGCTGCAACTGCCATCCCTGAAGGTCTGCTCCTAGCTGTCATGATAACCATTGCTTACTCAACCAAAAGGATGGCATCTCAAAAGGCACTAGTAAGAAATCTTTCAGCCTGTGAAGCAGTTGGTTCTGCAGATGTAATCTGCACAGATGAAAGAGGAAGTCTTACCTTGAATCATCTGATAGTAAGCGAAATTTGTTTCGGCAACAAGCTTCTCAATGCAGGAACTTCCTCAATCATCCCAAGAAATGTTCGTGGACTGCTCTGTGAAGGTATGCTTTTGAGAAGCACTGAAGCCTCATCAGGATCTCCCATTGAACTTATTGAGAGTCAAGTTCACAGCGCAATTCAGGCATGGAGTGTTCAAGATGTAGACGTCACTGTTGAACAAGTTCGAGCAAATTGTGCCGTTCACAGTCCAGAAATCTTCAATTATGAGAACACTCAAAGTAGCATATGGATCAAGAGGAATACCAGTGATACTATTCATGTGCACCACAAAGGCCAACCAGAAATCATATTGGCCAGGTGTTCACATTATTATGATGAAGCCGGGAGCATCAAACATATGTCTATTGATGAAAAAAAAAACTTGAAGCAAAGATTTCAGGAGATGAAGTCTAAGGGTCTCAGGTGCGTAGCATTTGCACATAAAGAAGTGTCAGAAGAACACTCAGCTTTCATAGGTTGCCTAGGCTTGAAATACCCATGTCGGCCAGAGGTACAAAAGGCTGTGATGGACTGCCAGAAAGCAGGAGTGAGCATCAAACTAGTCACAAGAAATGATCTTCCCACCGCTCGAGCCATAGCCATTGAATGTGGTATTATTAATCCAACTCAAGATGAGACAACAGGAGAATTAGTGGACCGTCAAAGCTTGCAAAGTAATGCAGAAACAGAGATAAAAGAGAAATGTGGCACAATCCGTGTGATGGCACGAGCTTCTACTTTGGATAAACTTCATATGGTCCAAGGCTTGAAACAGAGAGGCCATGTCGTTGCAGTTACTGGACATAGCATAGGGGAAGCAACAGTGCTAAGGGAAGCTAGTGCAGGTCTCTCTCTGGATATTCAAGGGACTAGCCAAGCAAAGGAGAACTCAGACATTATCATTTTGGATGATAATTTTGTTTCTGTAGCCAGAGTATTGAGGTGGGGTAGAGGCATGTATCACAAAATCCAGATGTACGCACAGTTCCAACTTTCTGTTAGCATTGCTTGTCTTGTGATAGACTTCGTAACAGCAGTTTCTGCTAAAGAACCTCCCACTATCAATATTGTTGCGGCCATTTCATCAGGTAAAGTCCCATATGCAGCATTTCAAGTACTATGGGTGAAGTTGATAGTTGGTGCATTGGCTGCACTGGCTATCACCATTGAGGAACCACCAGAAGAGCTCAGACAATTGCCACCAGTCAACCAGAAGCGGCCATTTATAACCAGCATCATGTGGAAGAATATAGTGGGACAAGCTGTCTATCCTATCATTGTTCTGCTGACCATACAGTTCAAAGGTCAATCAACCTTCAACCTGGATGCCAAAATAAAGGATACCATGATCTTCAACATCCTTGTTCTCTGGCAGCTCTTTGTCATATTCAACACGAAAAGAGTTGAAGGAAACTTCTTCAAAGGGATACGTAAAAGGAAAATGTTTTGGGGTGTAATCCTAGCGATAATTCTTCTTCAGGTATTGATTGTGGAACTGTTAAAGGAGTTAGCAGATACAAAGCAACTGTCTTGGAAGCAATGGATTATATGCATTGGAATTGCTGTCCTAGCTTGGCCAATTGGGTGGCTAGTCGAGAGGATAAAATATCCATTTTCTTCAAATTTATAAGCTGCTGGAGTAAAACTGATATGGCCCGTCTGATAAGTATTTATTATCAAAGTTAATCTTCTGTAATTTCAACTGTTAGGTTGAGCCATCTGTCAATTTTTCTGCTATTTGCTTATCTTTAGTTTCCTAGGTACGGAAACATAGTGGCTTAGAGACCTCAGTATAGCTTAACCAACCCTTTGCTGTTTTTTAAACCACTTGAGAAAATAATCAAGAACAAGTTTCATTAATGTCTGATATTTTTCATTTCTCATGCTCAATAATTGGCATTTTACAAATCAACACCACTGATGACATAGGTTTTTCTGTGTAGTCTATCATGTTCTAATACAGGGCTATGGATTACACAGTAAACTGATATAATTAATGCATCTAACACAGCGATAGTCTAGAGTTGCTCATACAACAGTTAAATGAGAAAAAAAATCCTGAACTTTATTGTTTGGAAGATGTATCCAATTCCTCAAGATCTAAGTTAACTCCCAGATGCCAAGTCATATAAAATACATGAAAGGATTGAAATAGTTAAATTTATATAAGCTTTCATACTTCTTTGCTTCATACGGACTGTATAACAGGAACAATTCTTACACTCATTGTCTCACGAAATTTACTAAGAAAGTTGGGTTAATGGAAATATATAGAACTTAAAAGAACTGATTGTAAGAAAGTAAACTACATTTTACAGAAAGAAGATAGACAGGGCAATATGTGCGTCCAAATAAGTGGGCAGAACAGGAAGATCATCTACTCGGATACTCTGAAAGTGGAAAAGAGCAATCATGAACCTTACAGCAACTCAAAATGGTAAATTTTCTAATATCAGAAACTGCAATTGTGGATTCATAATTCCTATGCAATACAAGAGATTCTACTAAGGTTTTCCAACATCATCTTTCCCTTTTAGACATTTTGACATACCTTAATTGTGATCTTTATTCATTTTATTGACCAGAAGGTTTGAACTGTTTAGAACCAAGTTAACCAAGGTCTTCTATATCAAGGTAAACACAGTCTGCGTCATTCAGTATCTTTCTCAAACGTACACATACCATTTTCATGAAGAAATTTGAACTCTTGGTGAATTCCGTTTCTTCTTTGGCTTTAACATGTGGAAACCTCACCTTTCTTCATACTCATCTAGGATTGATGTAACTTATTTGCTGACAGCAGAATCAGAGCAAAATGCCCTGCTGATGCTCCTCACAGAAAGCTTAAGAGGAACATAGGATGGACTGTAAACAAGTATCATATTAGGACGATTTGCTCCGTGCCATCTTATTGAAAAACCTATTCAAACTCACCTAGTTCAGGCCAGATTTAGAGTCACGCACCAGATTCAATTTGTAACGAAGACTCTGGTGAAGAAGTTAGACTGCCGTTGCAGTTAAAAACCATAAATCCGTCTAGTTCCACGGATTCATTAATTGATCTATGATCTTATTACCTAGACTAGATTACATACTGCCTATAAGAGAACCAAGTTCATAAGACACAAGTTCAAAGGTGCAGCCAAAGTTCAACAGCCGTCCAATCCAACGAAATGTGCCAAAACCCAATTCGTTCTCCTAAATTGATTTGGTTAACATGACAGCCTATGTATCAGAAAATATTCAAAAAACAAGAAAAAGAAATTTGACAGGATGTGGATTCAGAGGTAATGGAGCATAGATTGTTGAACAAGATAATTATCCTCAGTAAGTGAAGTTGTCCTATGTCTAACTAAATAGAAACATAACAGGGAAGTTTCAAAATCCGTCCAACGGAATAAGAATTCAGAAGCTTTCAACTACAGTAAAATTGTTCAGATGGGTTTGACAAACATCTCAGATTTCTTTTATTCATGCTTTATTCCTCCCTGGGGGATATGCTTTCCTCTGTTTGCAGTAGTTATTTAACAAAACGTTATAAACATCTCTCCTTTCGGCTTAACTTTTTAGGCCAGCAAACGAAGTCAACAAGGCAATATATCATGCATTATTGATTATACTACTAGCAGTTCTAAAGAACCCATCAAAAACACAATCAATACATGCAATTTCAATTTCATACAAACGCAACAAATAGAACTGCATTGTCTCGGAATGCATGCATAATTTGTGGCAGAGAGGGAAGAAACAAGCATGTCTAACCTGAGTTAAGCAAAGTAGGACCTCAACTGATCAATGGGTTAATCACATTTTATCCCCTTAAAGAATACCCCATTTCTTAGTTTACCCCCTAACCTTTAATTTTGCTCACTTAACCCCCTTTAGGACAAAATTGCCCTTGCATTATTTTGACTTTTCATTTACCTTGTTTTCCTTTCTTTTATTTCTTTTTCTCTTTCTTCTTTATTTAATTCTTCCTCTTTCCCACAAAAACTTCACCTTAATGATTGAAATTAAAAAAGAGGAATTACAAAGATCTATCTTCTTCTTAAATGATCAAAAAAATATTCAAACCACTTTTCTAAAATACAATTTTTTTAGCCTTTCAATTCTTTTAATTTTGGGTTTTCCTCTTTCCTTTCTAGTTTCTCATTTTATTCTCAAGAAAATATCATAAGATGAAATTGTTTTCCTTTCTTTTATTTCTTTTTCTCTTTCTTCTCTCTATCATCCTTCCCAATAGAAAATTCGATTTCCACAAAAATTTTTGTTTTGAGTTTGTAATCGCATATTTTTGGGCGAAGGTTTAAAAGACATCAAAAACTAATTTTGATTTTTTGTATGATGCCACGTGTCACAAATTTCAATTGATAATTATTAATCAGGTCACAATTTCATCTTAAGATATTTTCTTGGGAATAAAATGAGAAACTAGAAAGAAAAGAGGAAAACCCAAAATTAAAAGAATTGAAAGGCTAAAAAAAATTGTATTTTAGAAAAGTGATTTGAATTTTTTTTAATCATTTAAGGAAAAGATAGATCTCTACAATTCCTCCTTTTTAATTTCAATCATTAAGGTGAAGATTTTTGTGGGAAAGAGGAAGAATTAAATAAAGAAGAAAGAGAAAAAGAAATAAAAGAAAGGAAAATAAGGTAAATGAAAAGTCAAAATAATGCAAGGGCAATTTTGTCCTAAAGGGGGTTAAGTGAACAAAATTAAAGGTTAGGGGGTAAACTGAGAAATGGGGTATTCTTTAATGGGATAAAATGTGATTAACCCCGGGTCACGGGGACTAAACCACCATCGGATCATACGGGTACACAGCACCCACAGTACTCACATGAATCTTAAGCAAAGCCACATTAAGTGGTAACTTTTTGATGGGAGCAAGGGTTGAACCCTTGATCTCCCACCCCACGCTAAAGGTGGTGGCCAACTCCACTAAAGGGAGTTGGTTTCTCTGCCCAGTAGTTAGTGTGCAAATATTTGTCATTTAATATGTGCTAGGGAGACCGAGAGACGACTGGGCTTTGGTGACTTTGTGGAATTTTGGGTTATGTCGGTTGACTTTCGAGTCTCACATTTTTTTCTTTTGTTAGTTTTAATCGACCTTGGACTTGAGAGGCAGGACAGTCGAGACTCAAGAATTACTGAAGCTTGATTGAATTACTGAAGCTCGAGAAAATTTTCAGGAACAATTTTATTTGATGGCTGAAATTTCACGTTTCTGATGCTCAGTAATTGACATTTTACAAATCAGTACCACGAATGACACTTTTTTTTTTTTTTTTTAAGGAGAATGACACAGATCCTACTTTGTAGTTAGTATTATGTTTAACTACAAGTGCTACGCATTCCATGGTACAGTAATAATGCGCTACATCTAACGCCGCTGGGCAGAGTTGAAAGTGTCACTCATACCGCACCTAAATATGCAAAGCATCCTTTAACTTTATTAATTCAAGAGACATGAGAATTCTCGAGATCTACATAGTTAACTCCCACATATTAGATTGAAATGACAGTATAAAATAATAGTGAAAGGATTGAAATAATAATGTCATATTAGCTTTCCAACTTCGTTGCATTTGATCATTAGATGGACTATAGAAAATATTAAGTGTGTTTTTATATCCTACATGGGTAGTTTAACAAAGAAAATCTCTCCTTGTGATTGTTATAAATATAGTGAATTTAAGTAAATTTAAATATGCTAAATACACCAACCCAAGTACCGTATATATCAATCCAAAAGAGTTTTGGGAGGCTTACGCTCTAATTTGAGAGGAGTTTTGGTTAGACATCAAATCAAAAGAGCAAGTTACGGGCATTTGGATCATTAAACATTTGTGTTATTTAGACTCTTTTGTGTTTTCAGTTTTAAATGTCTTTTGGGCTTAGGAAATATGTCTTAGGATTTATACTCTCTCCTCCTTCACCCGTGGACGTAGGTTAATTTGACCGAACCACATAAATTTTCATTAGGATTTTGGATAAAAATTTTCATTGGAATTCAATCGGATTTTGAAGAAGAGTTATTTGACTCATTGGAACTTATTGAGGGTTTTGTTCAATGGAGTTCAATTGGGTTTTGAAGAAGAACTGTTTGACCCTTGGAATTCGTTGAGGGTTTCGTGAAAAAGGTGGAGTAATATTATGTTCGTGATTTTTAGTTTGTTGGGATCTGCTGAACCTTTTTGTGAGTTTTGACTCATTGGGATCCATTGAATCTTTTGCATCCTAGTTCGTTGGGGTCTGTTGAAATTTTGGTTGTTTGTTGAGATCCGTTGAAATTTTTATGTATAAGGTGGAACTCGTTTGCTATTTATTTGCTATTTATCGATGTTGGATACATACCAAAGTGGAGATTTGTTAAATGTGTCTTTGTATCTCATATCAAAAGTTTAAAAAAGAAATCTCTCCTTGTATTTGTTATAAATATAGTTGATTAAGTGAGTTTAAGTGTGTTAAGTGCACCAATCCAAGTGTCGTATGCACTAGTTCAAAAGAGTTTTGGGGGGCCTACGCCCCAATTTGAGAGGAGTTTTAGTTAGGTATCAACCAAAAGAGTAAGTTATAGGTCTTTGAGCCATTAAGCATTTATGTTATTTGTGCTCTTTCGTTTTTTC